AGAGGCACAGAAGGAGCTGTGATGAGGTGGTGTTGAGCTACTGCACCTATGATAGGTACATCGGTCTAAACGACTGAGCGGGTAGAGGCACAGAGGGGGCTGTGATGAGGTGGTGTTGAGCTACTGCACCTATTATAGCTGCGTCGGTCTAAACGACTGAGTGGGTCGAGGCACAGAGGGGGAGGACTGAAGCATGAAAAAAGAGTTCCGGTTGAGTCCAAAAATGCTGCCTCCGCTTATAGGTACAGCACCGAGGCACTGAGGGGGAGGACTGAAGCATGAAAAAAGAGTTCCGATGGAGTCCAAAAGTGCTGCCTTCGCTAGTAGGTACAGCACCGGGACTTCCCAGGAGGTCACCCATCCCAGTACTATTCCGGCCCAACGGCGCTTGGCTTCCGAGTTCGGATGGGATCGGGCTTATGCATGTCATCTGTGCACCTGTCTCTTATACACATCTAGATGTGTATAAGAGACAGTGGTACATATCGTCAAACAGAGCTGCCCAGTGAACCATCGGCAGAAAGGGAGAAGAGGACAACAAAGGAGGGGCTGTGACAAACTGTTTCGTAGGCGTATCACCCACTCATCAGGAGGCTATATATACATCACATTATAGTCGTTGATGTTCAACCACAGCTGGGGTTAAGGTGGATTATCACTTACAATGTAATCAGCTAGGGAATTCTGAAGACTGTTGAGGGTTCAGCCTCCTGATGAGTCGGTGAAACTCCTCTCCTCCTCCCTGCCCACAATTTACTGGGCAGCTCTGTTTGACGATGTATATAAATATTATATATAGGAATGCTTGATACAGCAAAACCAGAGGATGGAAACGAGGACGGAGCGAAGCCAGAGCACTCATGCAAGCACGCATTTCGTCAATCGGAGGATGGAGCCAAAGTGCTCGTTCGTCAATCGGAGGACGGAGCCAAAGCGCTCATGCCAACATGCAATTTGTCATTGGAGCCTGTGCAATGAGCTCACGACCGTCCCTTGTCGAGGAGCGGGATCCTCCTGTGTTACAATTGCAGCTGCTAGTCTGCTACGATCTGTCTTATTATGTGTTATGAGAGAGGGGGTGTCGAGTCTGCACATGCACCAAGCAACAGATGGGCTGAGAGGGCCAACCCCTGCCATTCGAGTCGAGTGCCAAACTTATTGCTAAAGCTAGGGCCAATCTTATTGTTAGAGTTCGGTGCTCTCGCACAAAAGAGTTCGAAGCAGAGGAATGCTCGGACAGGACCATTTTGGGCGAACAGAAATGGCCATGATTGCAGTTGGATACACTACTCCGTGTGAGTCTGCCCTCAGTGAGGACACTTTGGCAGAACGAAGAACACGAGGAGCATGACTGTCAGACACGAAAACAACAACAACAAAAAAAAGCCAAGCTTTGACCGTGAAAGTGGTGGTATTCATTTCAACGGCGCTGCCGCGCTAGTGTGAGTATGCCCTCAGCAAGGACATTTTGAGCACGAGGTATATGCACTGCCTTGCTGGCAGCAAAAGGGAAAAAACTTCAAAAAAGAACAAAAGGCTGGATTAAGTCAACGTCCGGCCCAGGCGCACCGGGCCAGACGGACTGGGGGGAGTCCGTCCGGCAAAACCAGACGAGCCAAAAAACATCCCAGGATTTTTTTTTTTTTGTGTGAAGATGGGGTTGGAGTGCGCTCGCTGAGAGGAGCCCGAATCCGCAGAGAAACTCGTGAAAGTCATGTGCGGTGTTGGGGGG